TCATCAGCAATGCTTGACTTGTACAACTGTTTTATATACCCATGTGCTTGCACATAAAGTTTCCCATACAGAAGGGGTTACTGCTGGTGGAAGAAGACTGGAAAGTACACAGCACTTTGACAAAGAAGACTGAGTGTATGATTTTGTGCTTTTGTAGGTCAAAGCTGCCCTCTATTTTGCAAGGATGCCGTCCTATTTCTGCCTGTGTCTCCGCTTGCCCAAATTTGTTCCCATTTGCTCTTCATCTACTTCTGGTATATACTGCTTGTATACACATGGAATGGCATCTTAGAACAAAGTTCTCAAGGAAGTACCTAGGACCAAATTGCTAATGCTGCCCACCTTACTTTCAACCCTGCACACTATTTCCTTACTATTTCCTCACTTATGTATCTATACATAAGACAAGAAATAAAAAGGTGTGCGTATATTTGTTTAACATGTTTTTAAGGCACAACAAGGTGGGTTAGTGTACAAAAGGTAAAGGATTGTGCCATGCAAACTTGCTGATCTGAATTCAGCTCACAGAACCTATGTAAAAGATGAAAGGAGAGAACTGATTCCACAAAGCTGTTTTTTGGTCTCTGCAAAAGCCACATAGCCCCCAAAAAGACAAACAACACATATGTGCACATGTGCTCCTCCCTACATTGTATATGAAATTTAAAATATCTTTAAATTTTGAATTTGAATATATCAACTAAAATTGATATATTAGATTTTAGCATATATTTTACCTTATAACTCACTCCTTTTTATTCAGCAAATACATATTTATGCTATTTTTATTGTTCCAGCTAATGGAGGGAAAACCATCCAAGTGTTCTCTTGAAGTTTTAATTCTAATGAAGTGAGCATAGATAGTCAAGAAATGAGAGTGATGGGAAAATATAAAGCACTAAGTATTTGCTAAAAAAAAAAAAAACCTCTAAGGAAGTAATAAAGGAAGGACTATAGAGAATAGTGGGAATGCTGAAATGTAGTGTGGCCAGCAAAAGCCTGGCATTTTAGTAGAGATGCTGAGACTTTGCAGTAAGGTTCTTAAGATTCAGTGAGTAACTTTCCCAGGAGATAGCATGGAAACCACTGAGATAGGTAAGAAGATACTAATCTAGCTGCAGAGAGTCCTGGGCACAAGCTAGAAAGTAACTCACACATGTGGTCACAAGTGGAACCTCAGCAGCCATAGCAAGAGTGTGGGATATCCTCCATGTGTGTAAAGAAGGTATTACAGGCACATGAACAAGAGTATAGGACAGCCATGATCTCAAAGTTTTTCAAGATTGCCATTAATGCTGAGTCCAGTCCACTGAAAGGAAGATGTCTAGGTAAAATTAGACTAGCAGGAAGGCTGCTGTGGTAACCACCTGGGAACTAGATCCAAATTGGTGACAGAAAAGGTGGTGAGATCTGGTGAGAACCTGGTGAAATTTTCAGATTTATTGAGAAATTGAACATGTATAGATGTTGGAGAGGAATAAAGATGAAGAATTACTACACAGCTTTTGGCCTGACCAATTGCCTTTAATTTTGATATGAAGAAATTTAGAAAGAAAATTGAAAGATTTTTTTTTTTGTTGTATTGTGTTGAGAGCAATGTCCAATTGATCACATAATCCTGAAGCTTGCTCAGAAAGTTTGATAAATGTAGTATTTATTTGCCTGTACTTAGCATTTTCAGAGATCAGGTAATAAAGAGGGATAAGTGGAGGAACAAGTTGAAGGGGAAACCTAGACATGAGGAGAATACACAGAGTGGTCAGAGGTATCCTAAACTCAAGGAGAGGAGTGGCATTAGCTTCAGCCACCAGGAGATGCTTTTGACAAAAAAAAAAAAAAAAAAAAAAAAAAAAAAAAAGCAGAGTCCTCAAGGTTTGCCTTACAGACAGTCAAGAAATGGCATGGTTCATGTTTTCATGAATGGGTCCAGAGAAGACTTTTTTTTTTTTTGAGGGGGTAGACAAATTAGTAACCTTTCTGTATACTGACCTTCCTTAGTGTATCTGGAAATTAAATGGCTAAATACAGAAATCTGCGAGGACAGAAGCTTAGGTTGTAATCAAGCCATGTGAACAGATCCCATGGATTTTCAGGAATTTGGAAATGTCATGGCTACACTTGGTAACATGAGAACAATGGTATCACAGAAGGTGAACAGAAGGCATTTCTGAAGATCAACTGAGTAGAGGGAAGGCATCAAATCAGATAACTCCCATATGCATTTTGCAAAGTTTGGGTTATAATAGCCTCTAAAGTACCAATGTGAAAATTTTAATGTAAGAATTTTAAATATAATTCTTTCCTTCATGTTCTCCTCACCTCTCTGTAAAGAGGTAACTCCATAGACTTTAAGAGAAGGGTACAGAAAGCCTCTCCCATGTGCTAGACACTGTGAAAGAACAGTATGGTGACTTACCTATGTAGATGGTTTCCCTGTAACTATGATACCTGATAATGTAACTGTCTTGATGAATCGAGTGACTTAGTTAACAAGGACCTCGAGAGTATACTTAAATGACTGACCAGTTTGGAAGCAAGTGTGAGTGTGTGGACATGGTGGCTCTTAAGATAGAGAGCAGTTGGGAGAAACCCTCATCAGCCAGTCCTATGGGACTGATGATATTTGGGGCCTCAGAGAGTGAGGATCTGAGTCAGTTCTTTCCAGGAGTAGACTTGGTTTTATCTATTGATCCAAATGAGGCTCTGCTGTGACAAGTCCTGTAAACCATGAGACTGGGTGACAGAGTATGTGATTAATTAAACCAAGGAGATCATTTCATGTAAGAATCATCCAGGTCCCATAATTATCTTCTTCAAAATAGCCATGAAATAAATACTCTATCTCCAAATAATGGAATTCACTTTTTTTTAATATAAGATCTCCATATATAAACTAGAGCTATTCTATAATGTATCATCTCTTTTCATAGTTTTCATTTTGAGGAAATATTTTTGTGTGTGCTAAAGTTATGAACAGAAAACAATCAATTCCATCACCTGATGCCATTTGGTTGATCACTGTGAAAAACAGAATCTCTGAACAACTATGTTCTCTCCTTAGATGTGGGTGTAATATTGTCACTGTACATGCTGTAAGGTTTTGTGGGTACAACATAGAGACAATAGTAGGGTTTTCATAGACTAAGTGTATCTAATGATTTAACTAATGAATTATTATCAATTTTAAGATTTGTATTATTTTTCTAACTGATGTTATTTTCTCACCCCAATATTTAAAGTGCATAGATGATTCTGAGAATTAAGGATGCAGGAACTAAAAAGCAAAATACCACTTCTATGCACAGTACCAATTTAATATGCCACTGCCTAGTTGATGGGTATATCAGAATGAACATTCAGAATATGTGTGAATTCACAGTAAGCAAAGTTGAAATCATAATTATCATAATTATGGCATAGAAGTAATGAAGAAAATAATTCAACCACATTTTAAAATTGATTTTATTTTCCATGTCAAGATTGAAAGTGTAAAACCTTTTATTTTAGCCAGATGATTAGAAAGATCTAGTTTTGCTGATTATTTTTTATAGTAGAATAATCTTTCATTATTAATCTATTTAAGTCTTATCTCAAGTCAGTTCACCAGTTCTAGCAATTAAAGATAGAAAATACATGTGCTCAATTTCAAGAATTAAAAATAATGCCTTGGGAGTAAGCATTTCTTTTCTGTGGTGAATGGATTGTTGGATTTTCCAATTAGAGAAGTCTCCATACTGGAAATGAGTAGTCAATTATGAAAATTATTTTTGAATAGCCCATTTACATATCCCTAATTGTGTTCATTTCTTCTGAAAGACTACATTGGAATTTACAGTGTTTTGATTGGTTACCCCTGCATTTGTGTTATTAATACTATTGCCAACAAGGCTCCCCTATGAATGGTCTTTGAGTGCCTTTATGGATATGTATGAATCATAAATAAACTCGTTTTATGAATGAAAAGTGTCCAAAGAGTTACTAGCAGTTTTCAAAATTAGTTACACTGTACTTCTTTGGATTGATAGTAACATCCATGAACTGCCTCCTGGATTCACATTTGGCCTTTTTTACCTTAGCCAATGTGGAAGATTTGAAATCCCTCTATTGGAGTGAGGCCTCCTAGCCAAAATTACAGTCACTCAGCGGGTCTGCCTTTACTGTCCTACAGTGTCATAGTATCATATGATTTCGTAGAATACATCAACTTTTTCATGAAAAATTACTGGAAAGTAACATTTCAGTTTTTTTAAATTCAAGATATGCAAATACATTAAATGAGTATATTTAGTGTCCATAGAATCCATTAATAAGAAAATATTTCATTAAAGACAAGTATAAAAATGGAATACTTGGGTCCATATGATGAACTCATGATTTTTAGCTATTAACATTCTTATGTTTGTGAGTATGTGTGGATTTAGATTGTGTCTAGAAATACATGTCATAAGAAAATGTTATACCCCTTTGTGAATAGAATGTACACGTCTATAATGTATTCTCTTTTTTCATCTTTTGACACTGAGCTCTCATTTTGCATTCTGGGAGTGGATAACTTTTAAGCATATTAGAAAAAGTTGTGAGTGAGGCTGTGTGTATACTTCAGTGGTGAAACACTTGCCTAGCATTATGAAGGTGCAAATTCAATCTTTGCAGGAGACACACACACACACACACAGATTGATAGACAAACAGACACTAGATGAGAAACATTCATGGAGAAAGTAATAGGCAGCCATTTCATTCCTTTAATTAAAGCTGGCCCAAGCTGACTATTTCAAGAATAGACAAACAAGGACAAACCCTTCATCATGTTCTGCGCCTGTGCTTGCAGGGATTATACTGTTGATGATTTAAGCATGTTGGTATAATAAGATTTAAGATTTTTTTTTTAAAGGCGACATTAGCTTTAAGACCAAGTAAAGATCACAATCAACTAGACACAGTGTCCCTATGATAAGCATGTCCTACAAAGTAATTAGTGTTGTTGGACTCGTTTGCAGCTCATTGCTGTGTTTGACGAACAAGAGCCACTCCAGAAGATTGAGAGCCCCAGTGGAAACCCTGTGGATCAGCAGAGCCCAGACGCTTTCGAGACAGAAGTGGCTGCTCAACTGGCTGCATTCAAACCAATCGGTGGGGAAATCGTAGTAACCCCTTCTGCTCTGAAGTTAGGTAGGTGGATTTTGCTCATGACACTGTCTACTTGGTTGCAAATTGAATCAACTTACTAACTTCCTTCTCTGTGAAGTTATCATATTAGTATTGTATATAAAAACAACTGGTTTGTCCTCTCAAGTTCTTTTTCTATGGCTCTCAACTGCTGCTGAAGCTCAGGGAAGGAGATACAGTTTGTTTGTTTGTTTGTTTCTTGAACTGTGACTCCTGGTTGCTTGTCCTTGAAGAATCACAGGGAGTCAAACTCTGAGTGATGAGGTTTTCCTGTATCCTAGATCCTGTATCCTGTAACCACTGTTAAAAGTTCATCCTTTGGGAAAAGCTAAGGGTTATCAAGGAATCCACACTAGAAATAAGGTTCCTTTGTCTCTTAGTCTCCTGTTTTTCTCCCTATACATAGCTTAGGCATTGGAATAAACAGTTGGGGAGTTGGTTTTGGAATTTGAAATTGTGTGCTGATTTATTCAAAAGAACAGTTTACTTGGTGGTTTTGCTCAATATTCTTTTTTCTTAATATTCATTTTGATGGTGTAGAAAGTGAAAATAAATGTTCTTCTAAAGTTTCTGTCAAGTACTACTCCTAACATATCTGTTCTTGTTGATACTTCTTAGAGTATCAGTCAGTTTAGAGTTTAGACAGTCTAATGGCATGTCATTTTTTACAATCCACTAATGTTTATTTGAGTGAGCACAGCATTATGAGATTTTTCTTGTACTGGCTAGAATTTAATTAGATTTAATTCTTAGGTGGAAGGACAGGCACAGTTTCTGCTTCTCAAAAGGTTTATCCCTGGAACCCACAAGGTAGAAGGAAAGAAACAACTCCTTTAGTTGCCCACTGACTTTCATGGTTAAACCTTGAAATGCATGTGCACACACTCTCCAAATGGAAATATGCAAATTGTAAAAATTATACATAGAAACTTCCCCCCCCATTTTAAATTCAATATTTACTATTGGTCACCATGGTGGTACATGCCTTTTAACCTTAGGACCCCAGAGTCAGAAAGGCAGGCAGATGAAAGTGAGTCTGATCTACATAGTGAGTTCCAGGACAGCCAAAGTTACATAGTGAGATGCTGTCTCAAAATAAAATAAAATAAAATAACTGTTAAATTTATTCTATATATGAGCAAACCAGATAACCCTGTCTTGTCTTGATTTTCTGAAAAGCATCTGTAGTTCCCCTTTTGAAACAAACCAAATGGGAATTAATGACCTATGGCCTTTCTAATTTCCCTGCATATTTTGGAATCAAGCTAACAAAGCAGTCTGCTAGAACATAGATGGCGAAGGGCTGGTTGGCGGCTGTTCCTCTTCTGGAGCCAGGCTTGTGGCTTCAGCAACCTTGCAGCCCCATTGCTCATTTGCATAATGGATGCCTTTTTATCCATTATGCAAATAGTATGAGAGGAAAATTAGGCAATAAGGGAAGACGAAAGGAGAAAATTGCTCTTGCTTGTTTTAATATTCTATTTATAAGCAAGTGCTGTGGGCTTCAAAAAGCTGAGACTCATGGTGTCCCTGCCTCTGGAAGTTTGTTCTCACCTTTCTCTTATGAGCTTTTTCAGGGAGTAAAGTTTGTTCTTCTGCATTTTCATGGCTTCTTTAGTTGGATCATCTGATCAAAATAGTTATTTTGACTCCAAAAAGAAACAACTCAAATTCTTTTCCTTTCAAAATAGATTTTATTTCTATTGTTAAAAGATTTATTGCTGTATTTGTGTATACGTATGTGTGTGTATACACATGCACATGTGTGTGGATTACATGGAAGACTAGAACAGAATGCTCACTTTCTTAGTGCAGTGGGTACAAGCATTTGTGAGCCACTAGACATGGATGTTAGAAACCAAACTTAGGTCCTCTGCAGTACTCTCTTAACCACTGAACCATTTCTTCACCCCCTCTTTCTTTGAGATTGATAGTGAATGTGTGTGTGTGAGAGAGAGATGGAAAGAGAAAATAATGTCTATTCAGTAGGACCACATATCAGTCACTGACATAAAGAGACTATACTGAATGACTTCAGCCCTTACTCCTTTATTGGTCCTTACTTTTTTAATGTTATCTAGTCATGTTTTAATATTCTGTTTTTCAAAAGACAAGGAGTCTGAGCAGAAAGGTTAGTAGCACATCTAAATCATATATTGATGAGGCATCAAACCAGGATGAAAACTCTTGCTGGCTCAAGAATTAGGGATCATTTCACTGCACAATTTCTGAGATACTGTTTATAGAATAAGTTATTTATAAAACTTTGATGCAGTTTACTTTGCAAATGTAAACCAAACCGCCTAGGCTCACATATCCATTCCATTTAGTAAGATATAGGAAATGATGACAGGAGCTAGCATTCATGTTGCTTGTTTCTGTAACAAAGCCACTGACTAGAGTACCAGACAGGTGGTCACAGTGAATTTATGCTTAGGAAGCAGAGGCTCTTTTCATTCAAGTCTGCACCCCAGCTATTGAGTGGTACCACTCCCTGTCAGAGTGGGTCTTCTCTCCTCCGTTAAATGAGGTGACAGAGATGAACCATCATGCATAGCTTCTTAATTGGAGCAACTTAGGCAACATGGTTGTTTTTCTAATACTTTATTTTATGTATGGAAAAACCTTGGGATTTTTTTCTGGGAAAGAAGTTAAATAAATGCAGAACAGATCCAGTTCCATGTCTTCCCATGCTGTTTCACTTTTAGTCTTTTCAAAACAGGAGGTGCTCATGTACTGCCTCAGGATGAAACTGGGTTGGCAAGGTCCTTTCTGGGGGTATGACATCAGTATGTTGTGAGTCACACTTCAAGCTATTGCATATGTCAACACAGGGAGGGCTGTCCAAAGAGGAATAGCTCCCTCAGCTCATCAGGAGGAATGCTTAGACATGAAGAGTGCCAGGCACTGAGCCCTAGACCCTCAGAGCCTCTTGCTATTACCTTTCATGGTTGCTAAAACTACCTGCAGCCACCAAGAGCCACCTGCTGTTTAATAATTTCCTTCAAATGTTAATGTCTTTGTGTTCAAATCCTGCTCAGTTTTCCTGACTTTCTCCTTTATCTCCATTTACCTGGTACGCTCACATGTGCTATTTCTGTCAAATCACAAATGCTATCTTTCTGTAAAGCTTTGTCTGAATCTTTGAAGCAGTGTTATATACAAATGTACAGCAGTAACTTCCCATCATCTATTCAATGAAAGTATTTTCCCCAACCCAAAAAAGTTTGCAATTCCATGTCTTATAAACTAATTATTTGTGAATTTGTATGTTTGTATTTAATTTGCAAGCTAAGTTTAAATCAAGGAGCAATAACATAATTCCAAGCCCATTTATCTAAATTATTTCTACCATGAATTCTCTACTAGATGCCCTAATGACTAAGTGACTGACTGACCCAGACTCAGTTCTAACAAATTATTAATTGGCTGTTGTCTTTTATTATACATCCTAGAAATCACTAATACAACAATCTATCTGATGATGATATCTATTGGCTGAACCAGCAGATAGAATTGTGAAATGCTCTATTCATAGAATCAATATGGAATTTGAAGTTACCTTGTTCAAGAATTTTCCCCATTCCTTGTAAAGCCCCTTAATACTTCTAAACATATTTCAGTGATTTGACAAGTTTTTATTCCTAGTTAACAGTAACATTGTTGCTTGTTTGCATTCTGGATACTATTGCATTCAATGCTCCATCTCTGAACAAGATTGGTAGATATAACTAGCAGGTTAGGCCATGCTCATAGGAGTAGCATCTAGATGCTTCTTATAAGTCCCATAGCAAGGATGCTTACCTTTACTCTAAGGAATAGTACACTGTTGGAACACATTTTATAAATACAGTTACATAGGGCTTCAGAATTAGCAATTGTCTAGGTGATTGACACTGTTTTACAAATGAATATGTGAGAGCTTCAATTCACTGTGTGTTTCAATGCTGAATGAGTAGTTGGCTAAAACTACAATTAGAACCTGCACTTTGGCTCTCTTGCACCCCATTCCTTCATTTATATGATGTTTTTGATGAATCATATATTTTAATTATCCATGGCCTTTAAATATAAGATGTGATAATACTCTTCATATCCTTCAATCCTTTGGAATGAGATAAAATGTAAATAAACAGATACTATGAACAATTGTAAATCAAAAGCTAATGAAGGAAACAAGACAAGAAAATTGAGGTGTCTCAAATTTCTTTTGAATTGTATAAGTTGCTGGCTATTTGCTGATGTTTTCTCACTTCATATAGGCAGTATGCATATGTGTGTGATCTTACATCAAATCAATATGCTATAATGTTGCTATCTCTGCACCTTTGCTGAGGTTTCAATGTCTACATATAAAGTCATACTGAGAGATTTTATTTTGAAGTTTGTAAGATTCCTCTACCTTCCATGACTATTCCAAATGTTGCCTTTTTGGTTAGTGGTATCTGATACTCTGTTCTCCAAAATGCATTATGAAGTAATCACCCAAGGTTGACATAATTCTTTGAAGGTGAGGGTTAATTAATTCACTAGACCCAAGAGAAATGATAAATGGGTGTTTCATTGGGGAAAAACTTACACAGAACAATAAGGACCACCACAGCATTTACTCTGCCCATCCCATCAGATATGCAACCCAAGAGCAAAGAGACCAACAGATGGGAGGGGGGGAGGGAGGGAAGAAGGGAGGGAGAAAGAGAGAGAGAGAGACCACACTTCAGGCTTCTCTCTTTCCTCTTCTGTCTGCCTGAAGCTACTCCCAAAGGGGTGTGGCCATTGTTACAGGTTCACAGTCAAGACATTGCTACAGTTCCCATTTTAGTCTAAAGAAGGTTTTAAGCCTGATAAAAAAACTATATACAATGATAACAAATGTCATATATATTCCAGGGAATATATATGTAAGCATACACAAATTAAAACCTACTACCAGCGAGAGCAACACTGAGCAATAGATACATACTTACCAGCGAGAGCAACACTGAGCAATAGATACATACTTA